GTGGTACTGGAGAAGAAGATTTTTAAAGATTTTTCCTATATATTCCTATGTAAAACTTGGGTTGGCCATTTTGGCCCCACCCTTGCCCCGGGGGTCATGATTTGAACAAACTAGAATCTACACTACCTGAGGTTGCTTCCACATGAGTTTCATCTTTCCTGGCCCAGTGTTTCTGGAGAAGAAGATTTTAAAAGATTTTTCCTATATATTCCTATGTAAAACTTGGGTCGGCCATTTGGCCCCACCCTAGCCCCGGCGGTCATGATTATAACAAACTTAAATCTACATTATCTGAGGATGATTCCACATGAGTTTCATCTTACCTGTCCTAGTGGTTGTGGAGAAGAAGATTTTTAAATATGTTTCCTATATATTCCTATGTAAAACTTGGGTTGGCCATTTTGGCCCCACCCTTGCCCCAGGGGTCATGATTTGAACAAACTAGAATCTACACTACCTGAGGTTGCTTCCACATGAGTTTCATCTTTCCTGGCCCAGCGGTTCTGGAGAAGATTTTTTAAAAATGCCATTAATTTTTAACAAATTCATGATTATCTCCCCTTGGAAAAGGGCGTGGCCCTTCATTTGAACAAACTTGAATCCCCTTCACCCAAGGATACTTTGTGCCAAGTTTGGTTGAAATTGGCCCAGTGGTTCTTGAGAAGAAGATGAAAATGTGAAAAGTTTACGACGACAACGACAACGACAACGCCAACAACAACAACGACAACGACAACGACGACAGACAACGGACAAATTTTGAGCAGAAAAGCTCACTTGAGCCTTTGGCTCAGGTGAGCTGAAAATACAAAAAAAAAAAACACAAACAAACCAATGCAAAATTCACAGACAGAAATCAGTTGGATATAATTGTCGAGTTGTATTTACTATATAAACGATAAATATCGCACGTTCTCGTTTTAATATGCACGTAACTTGCTTATCTTATTTCTTATTACGCAATAAATTCTTTATATTCATTACTTGAAGCAAAGAGTTGTTGGATAATCCAGTCATTTTCGCTGATTGTTTCCTCTTTTGCAAGACGAGCGTTTTTTTTATGTTGCATGCTACCTGAAAAAAATTAAATGTGGTTCCATCAATTTTCGTTGCCATCAATTTCGTGGATGTTGTAAAACAGACATTTTCGAGGATACGTAATTTCGTGGACTAAAACATTGTCTATACAAATGAATAACACATTTCTCAATTCATTGAACAATAATATCATAGATCTGCTCAACAACAAATTCCTCGAAATTTGGTGCTCAACGAATATTGATCATGTTGATGAAACAACAGTAATGTAACAGCCAAGGTAAAATATCTAACAATAACATTCTTATAATTTGAAAAAACAAATTAAGTTGTCTATAAAAATATCTCGTAAAAATGAAATCCATTGTTTTAAGGTGCATGCTCGTATACATCCCAAACATATAACAATGTCCACTGAATTTGATCCACGGAGAATTACAAATAGATTCAGCAAAGGCTGAAAAATGCAGGCCTTTACTGATGGTATCAGTAAAACACTTTAACGCTTATAACGGTCAAAATTGCGGTTATTAATAACTCAAAACAAGCACCGATAGGGACTATAGCTTTCTTCTGAGTCTGTCTGTCTGTCCGTCCGTTTGTTTGTCCCTCTTTCTGTCAGTCTGTCCCACTTGGTTTTCTGCACTTTTTTTGCAAATTTTTAGCTGATTTTTAGCATATGAGAGTATCTTGGTAAGTTACAGATCAAGTTTGCTTTCCGTTCTGCTTCATTTATTTTTGACAGATCTATAGCATTTTAATTTTTTATATGGTTTAAGATCGGGTTTGCTTCACAAAATTAATGTTACAATTTTTACATTTGAATTATTTTCTTTAGGTTCAAAGCATACAGAACCTCAAAAAAGTTTGTTTAATTACATTCATCATTCACTCTCATTTTAAATGCAAAACAAAAAGACATGGAAAGTAATTATTAAAATTGGTAGCTGGAATAATTTTTTTCTCGAAATTGTGATGATTTCGTTTAACTTAAGAAATGAAAAAAGTCCTAGAATATAAAAAGTATCTGAAATCGTCTCTAGTAACTTTAGACACAAAAATGATTCGGCAAACATTTACATAATTGTAATCGTATTAGGTACACTTCTATCAATTATAGAAAAGCTGCGTGGATGTTGATAGTCAGGCACAGGTACAGTCATGGATGCTGAATAAAAAATGCATAAAGGACACTTACACCACTGGTGAGTGGTGGCGTCTCCATATGAGTGAAAAGGTCTCGGGAGGGACGTTAAACAACATACAAACAAACAGTTAAAACTATTTCTGTTTAAAGTTGCAATAGTTAAAATGCAAATCAATACTATTGATTAGTAATGGCTCGAAAAATATAGATAGTTTATAACACTCGTTTTAAGTAAATCTGTAATTCGATGCTTGACAGATGTACATGCGTAGGTGATTGCTTGTCAATGATTATAACAAGAAATAGACAAATTAATTTATCTACGAAAATTTTGATATAATAAACTGGAATTCTTATATAATCTTTTAGTTTTAATTTGAAATGTTAGATTTTGGTTTTTTTTCTAGACAAAATGATTGGTTTGTTTTTTTCCATTTCTAATATAATTTTGAGCCACTTGTGTTCGATTTTTAATAATCAAGACAAAAATACCAATACGAGAATCAACAATCTAAAATCAGACATTCGTGACAGAAACTTGGTAATGCAGCATTGTAAATTCTATCAGCAATTTGGAATCAAATATCCGAAGTTTGTATTATCTATTTATTCAGTAAAAGGAAATAGATATTTGTTTTTTTTTTATATTCCTTAACAGAGTATTGAAGATGAATGATTTTCGAGAGGTATTCATGTCAGAAGAAATTCTATTTTATTTTCATTAAGAATTTAATCTTGGCTAACAAATTTCATTCCTTTCAGTTGCAATGATCATGATTATATTATTTTACCAATTCAGAAATTCTAAACCATGTCGGTTTTACAGCAAGTGCAACGTCTGGCAATTTGTGGTCTGGATCCACGCTAGTGTTCAACAGATTGATCTACTCTAACGGGGGCGGCTACAGCACTCACTCCGGTGTGTTTACCTCCCCCGTCACAGGGACTTTTGTCTTCTATGTTGCTGTGATTTCTGATTCGAACATTGATCTTAATTATATATTGTGTTAAGCGTTGTCAGTAAAGTGAGGAGTATGTCTTATTTCACTTCCGGTTGAAGTGATCATATGATCATGATTATATTATTTTACCAATTCAGAAATTCTAAACCATGTCGGTTTTACAGCAAGTGCAACGTCTGGCAATTTGTGGTCTGGATCCACGCTAGTGTTCAACAGATTGATCTACTCTAACGGGGGCGGACAGCACTCACTCCGGTGTGTTTACCTCCCCCGTCACAGGGACTTTTGTCTTCTATGTTGCTGTGATTTCTGATTCGAACATTGATCTTAATTATATATTGTGTTAAGCGTTGTCAGTAAAGTGAGGAGTATGTCTTATTTCACTTCCGGTTCTCACTCGTATCAAACAGGGACAAACCTTGCTACATTACATTTAAGTGTTGGAGACAGAGTCTGGATTAGAAAAAATGGTGGAGGCGCTACACACAGTGATGATCCACTGGTAACTTTCAGTGGCTTTCGCTTATAAATTAGTAGTTGTAAACTTGAAGTAAATTTTCCTTTAAAACATAAGGCTGAATCTCGTTTTTCATGCTATATACTAGTATTGATTAAAAGGTCGGGCTTCGATATTTCGAACACGTGAAATATCACAATTAAATTCATTCTTTGTTATAACCCGATTATTTATCTCGAGAGAATGAAAATTATGATACATTTAATTTCAAGTGAACAGAAATAATAAAAAAATAATGCATGCAAGCACGCACTTATATATCAAGTATCACTTAACTATAAATTCCATTGGAATTTTTTCTGAGGGTAAAAAATCATTTCGGTGTAAAAGCACTGCATGGTATCGATTAACAACGGTCTTAATCACCTTTACCTGCCGTTTGTTTATTTCTGTTTCTTAATTTATTTTATACCCATGAATATCTTTTTTGATCATGCTAAGCTTCATTTCTAATTGTTTATTTTAAAAGTCTTTATTCTTAACATGGATACGTAATTAGACATCTGCAAACAAAACCTTTATTTTGTATGCAATACACAGAAGTGAAATTTTTTTTTCAATTTCAATGATCTTTTTCGCAAACGTAATCCCGTTTTGTGCTGCATGTACCATCACCCCAATAAAATGCCTTTTTATCATGATTAAAGTAACACAGACATCTTTCAATTGTTGGGCGATTGGGCTCTGATGGATAAAAGAATGTGAATCCAATTTTTTCATTGGTGGATTCCCATTTCCAATCACCGACTTTTCTCAAAGTGTTTCCACCAATCCACCAATACCAGAGGTTATCTGCAACATGAATTATAAGTATAAATCAAAGAAAGTTAATAAAAAATTGTCAGTTAATTTATTTAAGAAATATCAACAAAACATACTTGATAAAACATACAATAATCATAGTAGAATTTGTTTTGTATTTTGGTCAACCGTACCAGTTATTCTGGCAAAATATTCATTTGGTGTCTATATTCCCCTTAAATTTTACAAACAGATTAGTAGCAATTATGTTATACGAAATAACCTTCATCAAAAAGTAAACATTTAAAGCATTATTTTCTAAAAAAAAAAATCAATTAGTAAATCATTTAGGGCACTGGTAACAAAATCCATGCTATGCAAAAAAATAAACAATGGTTTCTTTATAAATACAAAAAAAATATTTCAAAGAAATTGATAGTTGAACAAGTAAGCGAAGATTTGATTTAGTGCATTAACATATGTAACTAGATTTATCTACATGTGCAAGACATATAGCCTAGTATTTGAATTAGCAAATGTTGCTTTCAACGAAAGGCGATAAAAGAAATACACAGATAAATGAAATATACGCTTACAGTACGCATGTAACTTCCAAATAGCCTGATTTGCAAATAATTTTAATATTCTTTAATTACTTAAAGCAAACAGTTGTTGGATAATCCAGTCGTTTTCCGTGGGTGTTTCCACTCGAGCAAGATAAGCATTTTTTGTGTTGCATGCAACCTGGAAAAAATTAAATAACGTAACAACGAAAGTAAAATATGTCACATTTAGATTCGATTCAAAAGAAAAATCAAGAAAAATCAAATAAGAGCAAAATCAAGTTCTTAATAAGAATATCGCGTAAAAATTCAATAAATTTTAAAGGCAAATGTATTGCTTAAAAATACATGTATACGTACTTTGCTTTCAAACCAACTTTTATTGTTCATTCCAAACATATAACAATGTCCGTTGAATCCTATCCACGGATAACTACACATAATTTCAGCAAAACCTGAAAAATGCAGTCCTTAAGTTAAACAGGTAAGATAATTTAAAATTAAACAAAGCTTTAAAAATTTCATTGTTAGGTTATGATCATAACAATTGTTACAAAAATATCACAATAAACACTGACATACCAACAGCAACGAAGAAGCCATACACAAAACAAAAAATAAATACAGGGCTTTTCAAATGCATCTTGAAGAGTATATTATGCTTTGCTTTATTGTTCCAACAGATTTTTAATTTCAAATAGGTTTATAGTGTGTCAGAAATTGAAATCAATGTTGCAACAGCTTTAAACATATTGACTTACTGATTTTGAAAATAAAATTTATGAATACTAAATGAAGTACTTGACAGATTGGTTTGTACTGAGTCGAAAACAAAGGTGTTCGAAAGCAACGCTAAATAAACAAACAAGAAAAAATTAACCTCCTCATTAAAAAAATTAATTCCCATTATTAGAAAAAAACTTGTATGCTAAAGAAATTTTATTGTGGTATACATTGGGCAATTAAGGCAATGAATCCAGAGACATAATAACTAGATGCGTGTTTTATGTTGATGTAAGATTATCATGCGATAACATTATCACAATGACTTTAATTTGGCACATTTGTCTGTCTACTCTAAGAACCTTGGATCTGCATATATAGGATCCCCATTCCTCACTTCAGATACCTTGTCTTTCATCTAAATAAGATTTACAGTGCGATAAAGGACAACAATCAAACAATTTACAAAACAAACATTTTGAATTATATTTTACATGCCTTCTAAATGAAAATGATGCAACTGGTGAGATGAATGCTTTACAAATACAATTTTATCATTGAGTCAAATGCTAACTGACGTTTTTCATACCAATTGTTAGTCCATTACTTATACTCTGAATTGACGACGGATTTTTTCCGTTATTTCCTGATCATGACATTGAGCACACGGCGATTGAGACCGGTCGGCATGGGATGCTCACTCCTCCATGGCACCTGATCCCACCTCTGATGTTTCGGAGGTCCGTGTTTGCTCTGCTCTTATTTTGCATATTGTTTAATGGACTTTGAGATTGAATACTGTTCGTTATCTCCATATCCTTCTTTTAACCACCGAACATGTATCTCTGCTGGTGGACCGTTTGTCCCCGAGGATACTTGTCGTTCGGTACTTATTCATGCATGAGTACACAAAATAACGAAATGATACTGGCAGGCGCGTCGCCCAGTATAAAAAGGCATCACTCCTTTGAGTTTATAAGAGACACAGACTCAAGGAGTTCATTTGGTGCCCCTTGGATAATCCTCAGGGATATTAAACATATGTCATATGTACAGTCTTCAGATTCCCAGTTTTGGTATAAAACCAATACATCATATACCAAATTGAAAGACTGTAAAGTTTCTACTACAGATATATTGGATAATTCCTTTTCCGATCCAGTGTCTTCGGTTTAAAAATGTTCTGTGCGAAACTGTAAAACCTGTGACATCTTGATAACTGACACTTCTTTCACCAGTAATCTTACTGGACAGAGCTTGTATACCAAAACTTGGGAAAATCTGAACTGCAAATCTTCTAATGTTGTCTATGGAATAGAATGTAATCTGTGTGGACTTATTTATGTCAGTGAAACCAAGGGATTGCTTAACAAAAGAATGTCAGGTCATCGATTTCAAATAAATCATGGTGGTCAGCAGCTTTTATACAAACATTTTAATTCACATGATCATTCTATTTTATCAATGAAAGTTAAAATTCTCGAAAAGATTTATCAACACACGTCGTTGAGTACACCTTTCCGTAGACAACGAGATGAATCTTGGATTAGAAAACTAGGAACAGCCTTTCCCTATGGATGTAATGACAATGTCGATAGTATTGGAAATCTTTCCACCCCGCAGTGTAATAATGTAAATGTGATGGGACTTTTTAATAATACTCAGAGACGTAAGCGTAGTCATGGACATCGTTCGTACAATAAACCTGCAATACACGACGTCTCTTTTGATTCATTACAACCTTATGTAAATCAACAGTTAGGTCTACATCATATTCGAACAAAACTTTACTCTGTCCCTTTGAAACTTTTAAATAGTCTTCTTGAAAAAGCCAAGGAACATCCAATTTTAGATTCCTCGTCACCTGAATATAGGCTCGGATCTGTGAAAATGGATATTGCATATCATAGGCTTTTTAAACCCGCACGTTTCACGGAAGAAAATGCAGCTAAAAAAATCCGTCTTTTCCTTAAACTTCAATATGCCAATAAAGGAATTGACGCAGTTAATATAAGTAATATTCTTAATCACAAAAGGGTCCAGTCTTGTATTCCACCATATTTCAAGTTAAAGACTACACCTTGTATTTCCTACAAATATACATCGACCATTGCTTCCAAACTTTTCAATTACAAAAACACTTTACATGGCCTGGATATCGACTATCTGAAAAATAATCCCCCTTCGTGTTCATGTTCTTCGCCCTAAAACTATAGTCCTACTGGACACGTTATTACAGGTGACGTAAATATAGTTCGTAATGAGGACCTTAGGTCACTTATTTTAAAAGGTCCTAAATATAGGGAACCCCGATCCTTCAACTGGCGTCGGAATTTCATAAACATTATGGATTCTGTTGAAAATTACGCCAGACGATTGGCCAGATATGAAAAAGAAGACTTTGACACCTTGTCATAATGCATTAAATGTATCAGATCCATGTTAAAGTCACGTAATAAAAGATTGAGGGGCAAAATGAAAACCATCTATCCTTCTGTGTTCAATAAACCAGAAGTGAAAGCAATTTGATGAAACAAGAGTATCAGCCCTCTCTCTTTGCAACGCTTCATCGTTATGGCATTCCTTTGGAATTCGGGTATAGCCACGCAGTTCACTATCGCATCAACGCACCATCGAAGTTTGGTTTAATAATGCTATGACACGATAATAAAATGATGACGAAGCGATGGTGCGATAACGGAGAAGCAAATGGTTCGATAGCGCGATTACAATGAAGCGATGGCGCGATAATGCAATAGTGATGACACAATGGTGCAATGGCGATACCGCAATGAAATGATAACGATGAAGCGATATTTACTTTTACTCTATCGTTCTATCACACCATCGTCATCTCATTATCGCGCCATCGCATCATCGTCATCACGCAATCGGACTATAGCTCCGTCGTCATCTCACCATCTCTTTATCGTTATCGCACCGTCGCATTATCGCGTCAGCGATGTTGAAGTCGATGCTCGATGATGCGATAGTGACTACATGGCCCTAGCCGGATGCCATGCACTCTTGATATCTTCACCACACCACTGTACGTGTCATCAAACGAGTAGTCGATGGCTCGATAATGCGGTAATAAACAACGCGGTCCCATCCGGATGCCATGCTATCTGGATTCCATTGTTTATTCATTTGTACATTTCAAGGTTCTGTCCTAAAATATCAGATGCAAATACTAATTTATATCATTAACTCTCATTTTGAATACAAAACAAAAAAACATGATTACAACTTATTAAAATTGGTTGCTGGAATATTTTTTTTACGAAATTGTAATGATTTCATCTAACTTAAGAAGGAGTGAAAAAAGAAACAAAGATAATTCGACAAATATTTACATGATTGTAATCCTATTAATAAGGTATACTTCGACCAATTATAGAAAAATCTCCTCTGTATCATATTAGCATTTTTATGGTACGTCAAATATTTTTTCCCGAATAAAAAGAACTGTGATTAGAGAAACACAAAAATTACATGTTTATATTCTGTACATCTTAAG